GAAAAAAAAAAGTGTGCATTATTTAGAAGGCTGGTTCTTGCCATACCCCCACTGCTTCACACCAGATTTGAAACAAATCCATTAAAGACTGAAGACTCTACAATGGGGGTGGGGGTAAATGTTGAATATCGATAGGCTTCTCCCAATCATGATTTCAATGCCTCACATCCCATATAAAAATAATACGTTAACAATTGTAGCAGCTATGACATCCACAAGGTTTTCGAAAAAAGGAGGGAAACTCCAGTACGGACAGTCGTAGAATATCGATAATGTTCGCCCTTTCATCAGTCCCAATGCTTTGCACCAAAAAGTAAGGTTTTGCAATGCTGAATACGTACAGCATTTGTCCTCACATGACCATACTGCTTAAATTCAAATTTAATAATATTTTAACAGGTATAGCCTCTATCGCGTTCACAAGGTTTACGGGAGACTCTAGATAGGGTCTGAATTCTTCAAACCAAATTTGAAAAAAGATCCATTAAAACTCGAGGGGGCCGGGGGCGCTCGGGAACGCTGATTATTAAAACCGTTCAACCCCTCCTTACTCCGGTGCTTCCCACCAAATTTGGAATAAACAATCCGTAGAAAATTATAGCTTCTATCGCGTACAGAAGGTTTTTGGTTATGAGGACATACTTCTGGTACCGATGGTCGCGGGATCGTGAATATCGATATGGTTGGACCTCTCCTGGTGCTAATGCTTCCCGTCTTATTTGGAAAAAATCCTTTAAAATCTATAGCCTCTATCGTTTTTATAAGTTAGGTCAAAGGGGGTAACTCCCGACTGTAAGGTCACTGATTATGGATAAAGTTCGTCCAACGTTTCCCACAAAATTTGAAAAACGCCCATTAACAATTATAGCCTGTCCTCTTATGACCCTAATGTTTCCCACATTTTAAAAATGTTCGTCAGAAACTTGCTTCTATGGCGTTCACGTAGCAGTTGTAAACGGACCGACCGACCGGTTGACAACATAATAACATAGGCCAGGATGAACAACCCCATTACGTTTTTTTAAAGAAAAATTGACCGGGGCTATTGCTCTGTATCGCGTTCATCGGATTTAAAAGTATCAATTGAAAGATAACTCAAGAAAACGGATCGAAATTTACAATCAACAGGGCTTCTTTCGGAATAAACAACCTCTAAGTGTTTTTAAAAAGGTATATCGAGAATAGCTCTGATATGTGTGCTTTCACAAGATTTCATTAATGTAAACGGGCGAACCTGAAACATATCATTATTGAACTCTTAACCTGCTGGGTGGCCACAAAAACTTTTAGTCCAGATTAAAATTTACAATAAATATATACGTACAGTGCATCTCTCCAATTCCCACACTGTCCATTTTAACACCTATCCCTCTTTACTTTCACCTTGAAATCATTGTTTATTTTCTCTCTGTACTGAAAAAAAAGTCGCTGTCAGTGAACAATAGTACTTCGACTAAGTAAAATATGCAAGGAAAATATCCAGGAAACCCTATCACCATTGTAAAGGGATCAGCGGCTAAGAGGTCTTATCTAGTTGGCAGCAGATATTTTTGATTTGATAGTAGTAACGTCATGCATGAGGAAAGCCAATTTTAAAAGCAGCAACATTGGCATAAAAAGAGTCGTGGTCACGGTGGCTCAGTGAGTAAGTCGTTGGCTCGCTAACCTGGAGGGCCCGTGTTCGATCCCTGTGGTGCAGAACAGAAGACCTGGAAAAAGTCAACGTATAGTCGTTCGGATGGGATGCAAAGTCGAGGTCCCGAGAAAGTTCATCGGAAATTCCTGGCGTGGCTCCCTCTTGTCAGTGGTGCAGGACGGAAAGTCTGGCAAGGGACAACGTATAGTCGTTCGGATGGGTTGAAAAACCGAGGCCTTGTGTACGCATTGGCGTGTACATAATACAGCCCAGTCGGAGTGGGGCGCTAAACCCCATTTAATTTAATATGCTAACTCATAATAGGTCGATGGTGTTTAAATGATGTAATAACAATACAATACCAGTGGATTTAATTTGGTCCAAATATGGGTTTCGATGGATCTAACGTTCACAATGCCTATTAGTTATGCCTATCTAACCACACAGAATTATTTAGATCTAAAGTTACCTGGTTCGTGCACAAAATCGAATTATATAAATACAGATACTTAACATTTATGTTAGTCCCATTAATGTGCTATTGTAATCTTAAATGCTTTTTTAATTCTTTTACAAATCATTAACTATGTCCAAACTGATTATTTGACGCCATATGAACTAAACTAATGTACATGAAATCATCAGGATTATCCGGTGTGGTTCCTCCTCGTTTGTGGTGCAGGACGGAAGACCTGGAAATAGTTAACGTATAGTCGTTCGGATGGGATGCAAAACCGAGGTCCCGAGAAAGGTCATCGGAAATTCCTGGCGTGTCTCCTCTTGTCAGGATGCAGGACGGAAGGTCTGGCAAGGGACAACGTATAGTCGTTCGGATGGGTTTGAAAAACCGAGGCCCCGTGTACACATTGGCGTGTACATAATACAGCCCAGTCGGAGTAGGGCGCTAAACCCCATTTAGTTTAATTTCATAAAACGAGTAATAACAGACGCTAACTCATAATAGATCGATGGTGTTTAAATGATGTAACAATACAATACCAGTGGATTTAATTTGGTCCAAATATTATCATTTGGGTAAATAATATTATGGGTTTTGATGGATCTTAAATGCTTTTTTAATTCTTGTACAAATCCTTAACCATGTCCAAACTGATTATTTGACGCCATATGAACTAAACTAATGTACATGAAATAGCAAGACGATGGAACCGCTGCAGATGTTAAACATGAAACCAAGTTTTTTAACACATGGTTCCACTTGACCCAATTCCATTGTTTTGCACCCCCACCCCACCAATAGTCGTGCCGAACTAACCCCGGGGACCAGCAGCTGAATGGTCTAAATTGGTATCTGGTGTTCTAGCCCTAGGTGTCCTTAAACACATCACACCCCTTTCTGTTGTGGAATTCAAATAGCTAAAAGATTGATTTCTGTTTAATTGTGTGAAATAGTTTTATTTAACATCCCATTTCAATGAAGTAATAGTATCGCCAACATGTTCGTTTACGGTCACACCTGTTGGAACCACCAAGCAACCATTTCCTTGTAAGCAAAATTGGCGTTACATAAGGAATACAAATCTAGTCACCTTTTAGTGGGTCGCTCATAATTGATTAGACCATTAAAATATAAATTGAACACTCGCGTGTTAAAAGTTACAAAATGTTTACCGACAATTGGTTTATATTATTTTATATGTCAATGACATGCCCGAAAACAAATGTTTTTTTTTAAACAATACACACATAAAAGCTGCCGGTGGGTGTATACTTAACTTAAGATGTTTTGCTATTGGGTTTATTTTGTGTTAGCGGACAAATCTAGTGGATTGTCTACTATGTTATGTGTTGCTAATTATAGCAAGGGTATACTTTGTATGTCTTTGGAATAGCGTTTGTGCTAGGTTTTGTTTGGCATGTTTTGACTTTAGCGTTTTAATTAATGTTATGCATGTTGATGTATGTATAAAAGTTTGTAACTGGTTGTTGGTAGATTAGTTCCTTTAGGAACTGCCTCTGATCGGACTATATCCGCTGACAGTTCCTATCGCTTGCTATATAGCTGCAATATAAAAATACGGTAAAATACCGCTCTTCCGAGCCTCTGTTCTTAAGCTATTTTGGAACCCGTACCTTCTATTTTTCACCCTGAATGTTTATTTTTCGCAAAAGGAATCATTTCTCGTCATATTTGACACAAATTTATAATAATTCAACACTATGTTCAAGTAGAATTTAGTGATTAAATAATCAGGCGGTCTGCGCATGTTTGAGTCTCGTAATGGCTTATCAGTTTAAACGTATTTTGTGTATGTTTTTAATCGCAAAATTCTGCTTGAAAATACTGTTGAATTATTATATACATGTAAATATGTGTCAGCTGTGGCAAATGATTCCTTTGGCAAACAAAGAAGAATCAGGGTCCAAAAAGATTCAAAAATAGCCCTAGACAGAGGTGGGGATGGGCGGTATTTTCATATAGCAGCTATATAGCAAGCGATAGGAACTGTCAGCGGACAAAGTCCGACCAGACATTCCTTAAGGAACTATTGGTAGACAAAAGTGCCACTAGAGAGTGTGCTATTCTGTGTTATATTAAACCCTTGAAACATTCAACATAATGTCATCGTCCGATATCTACCACTTGCTCATTTTATTACATATGCTTAGGTTAGATTTCAAATGTTTCGTTTGAAACTACTGCTCCAATTTCCGACAGATTGTTTACACCAATTCTACATGGTGTCGTTTAAAATCACTGTTTGTCTCACATCTGGAATATCCCATAATGTCTTTCCGCAAGTCATGTTTTGTAAACCTAAGTAACAATCACCACGGTTCCGTTTTTTTGGGGGGTAACTGATCTGGCCGAATCATACCTAAGACCAACGGATGGATATGAGCGTGACGGTTGTAATCAACGATGACTTATTACAAATGTTGAAACGCTTCGTCGATGTTAGAATCATTGTGTGTATCGCACTTCGCTCATTATTCACTACGTTATTCGTTATACTAACCAACACGGTGCCGCCCTAACTTGTGCAATATCAGAATAACAGTGTCCGATATTTCCATCGCGATGATGACACATGCTATTTTAAAAACATCTAAACTGATCCAAGCTCGTGATCAACGTTGTCAAAATGTTCAAATAATTCATGATCAATATTACATATTGATAATTTAGTTCCTCAATGTGGTTATTACTTAATTTTACATTAATTTACTTTTTTTAAAAAGTCACATGTTCGTCTATTTGGTAGCTAAGAAATGCTGTAATGTAGTATGTTCTGATACAACTGGTGTATTGGTTGCATGGGCTTAGTCCTAACACCTGCTATTGTGCCACGGGACTGGTGGTTGATGCTTTGTGCCAAAACACTCTTCTCGTATTTTTCAGGTCCTGAATAATTCTTAGTCAAGCCGACATGAAATAAATTGACGTTAAATCAGTTGGCTTAATTCCTCCTGCTGTTGTACAATAAGGTAGGTATCGACTTTTATTTTACTACTAGTTCTTTTTGATATATAAAGTAATATAAATACATATAAAATATATTAACCATTATGAACAACGGCTTTCCATCAACATGACACATCCATAAATACAACACGTTTACCTCAAAATAAACCATACTAACTTATACGAACATCCCGTAACACAGAGCATTTACCAACACAAGACATATCGAAATCACACTGCCATTCCATATAAAAAGATAGTGCCTACACGCACGTAAAAATAGACATACATCGTTTTTCACCATCTACAAATACATAATAAATGGGTATCTGGAACAGCAGCAGTAATATGAAGTTTGTATAAGCTGAAGTAACAAAACATTCTGGTCCGTAAGTAGGCTATAGGCCTGAATAGTAAGTATCCTTTTAGCAAAGGTAGTTGTCACGATAGGACCAGCCTAAAAGGACCCCCTTTACAGATGTATGCTTATTGTGTGGCCGCCTTCTGGGGTTGTTTTGTTTAGAGTGTACTTGGTCCTCGTTTTGTCTTGCACTTTGGATGTGTTATAATACAGTCAGTGAGAAACCGGGTGCTATAAGGCATGAAATCTATCGTGTAACAGCTTTCTTAAAACAAAACATGGGGTTTGAATGCATGTCGCCTACTTCATGGATAACTGAAGATTTGACAACTAATGCAAAAGAAAAAAAAAGTTTGCTCCGCCTTCTTTAAGTAAGATATGTGAACTTCTCAAGCGAAAAGCGGTAACGGGTTTTCAAGTATACCTTGCCTTGTACACTCGATAGTTGTCAATTCAGTACAAACTGATTTAAGGAATCACATTTGTGTTTTGTTAATGCTTGAATTATTTAGGCACAAATTCAAAGTTCTTGTAATTTTCGATCTTCCTGAAATAACTGTGTACATTGTGAATGCTCGGATGTGACTGTAAGATAATTTTCCTCTCTCCTCGCCCAAGATCATCCATGCTTTAAGTAACGGATAGCATCTGCTGTCGATGGGGTATCACGCATAGGGAATGCTTGATTACTGCATGTCGTTGACAGTGAATGTTTAATTGTCGCAAAATATTGACAGTGAATGATTCTCGGTTGCGAGAGTGATTGAAGGACACAGTGTATGTTAGTTTGCAATACACGGGTAGTTAATTATTGCTTGATTACTGCATGTCGTTGACAGTGAGTGTTTAATTGTCGCAAAATATTGACAGTGAATGATTCTCGGTTGCGAGACATAATATTGTGAGTGATTGAATAACATAGTGTATGTCAGTTTGCAATACACGGGTAATTAATTATTGCTTGATTACTGCATGTCGTTGACAGTGAATGTTTAATGATTCTTGGTTGTGAGTTATTGAATAACATATTGTATGTCAGTTTGCAATACACGGGTAGTTAATCATTGCCGTGCCTGACTGCCATCAGTATTCTGCCTTTCATAAACACATTATATTTATAAGGACTTGACTATTTCACCAGGGGTGCTTTCTATCGTCTCATATTTTGAAATCAGTTTTTGATAAATGTAAGCTTTGCACGGTTGCTAACTCCTGCTGTTGTTTGTGTTTTTTTTTTTTTTTTACTATGTCATGAAAATATGTCACATGCAACAGTTTCCTTAATCATTATCGACAGACGCTCACGGACCCTGGATTTCAATCATGATGGGGTATTAATCAGTATTATCAGTCTAAATAAGTACATGACTGATGCATAACAGACGACTTCTCAGTTGCTGCAGAAATACTTTCATTATTTACATTGGGAATGTGGGCCAGAAAATGGACATTGGGTTAATTATATCACAAGACTGCAGTCACATAAACCCGATATTGAATGCCAAAAAACACAAAATTAAATGTAGATATGTTGATTAATGTACTAATTTATTGTTGCAAAACATATAAGTAGTGAATGTCAATGAATATTATATCTGCATAATGTGATTAACTTGATAGATATGACACGGCTAGTTACTGTCCAGTTGCAAAGTACAATACAGCAAACGTGTTGTTTCTTGGCTGTAAATATTTAAGTAATGCCAATTTTGTAGCATGTGTTTTGACATTTTATGGATAATGAATGATTGTATGAGATAAATGGGAAGTGACTTGTGGGGGGGTTGTATTACATGAATATTGAATGTTTGGTGGATAAATGGTCAGTGTGCTTGGTGACAGTATCTTATGGATAGTTGAAGCTTGCTGGATGAACATTGTACTGAATGCTTGCTAACTGCATGTCAATGAAGCGAATGTTCGATGGTTGCATATTAATAGTAAATCAGTCATCATATAAAGATGTAAGTAAAATATCTAAACAGCAAAGTGTGTGCGTGGACGACATGCAATTTGAATGATTTACGTGTCCATAGCATGCTTACTAAACTATTGTTGAACGAGTGTTACAATGGCAGAATGGAATTATTGGTAAGTAATGACTTAACACGTACTTTATTGGATGCTTAATGATTGTATCGCATTTGGACTAAATTCGTCCTACGTGGATGCTTGATATGCATAGTGGTGGTTACCTAAAATGGATAGTGAATGTTATAATGGATGCTTAATGATTGAATGGGATTAATGCTTGATGTGGATAGTGATGGTTGCCTAAAGTGGATAGTGAATGTTGTAATCTATGGATGCGTTATGACTGACAGAGTGAATGCTTGATATGGATCGTGGTGGTTATAAACTATGGATGCATAATTGCAGTTACCTAAAATGGACAGTGAATGTTCGTAATCTGCGGGTGCTTAATGATTGTATGACATTGAGAGTGCATGCTTGGTATAGATAGTATGTTTACCTAAAATAGACAGTGGATGTTTGTAATCTGTGGAATGCAAATGCTTGATAATAGGATTACATTATTACTGACCGCATACGGTTAACATTTTATGGACAACATTAAATGCCCGGTCAATGAGTGTTGAATTTTAATAGGGTTTAATTCATATGCTCCACTGATAATTCCACCAAGGTTTTATAATTTCTGCCAAAAGATCTGTGCGAACAATGCTTAATCTCACTGAAAACGTATCTAATTGCTAAATGAAACCCGGAAGAGGAATGGAATCGCACTATGTTGGGCATCTTTCATAACTAAAGCTGCTTGGTATTGACAGACGAGTGAATAAATGGTGGCTGTGTATACGCGAGTCTATGGTATCGATGACGAATGCTTGGGAGCTACGCATGGATGATTTATGCTTTTAATAATGTTGGATGCCGTTGGGTATCTTGACTGCTTGGTATTGACATGACATGCTTGGTATTGACAGACGAATGAATAAATGGTGGCTGTATATACGCGAGTGTATGGTATCGATGATGACTGGAAGCTATATGGCATCCACCGTGGATGACTTATGCTTGTAATAATGCTTAAGTGTTGGATGCCGTGCACTGTACAAGATCCCTTGTTAAATGAAACCACTGATAATGCATTGGGGTGTTTACGTGCAACAATTTGTAAACGGATTATTGGGCGACCAGATACGTTTCACTGCCAGCCCCACAGATGTAAGGTAGTTTAGTTAAAGATACATTATGGGAGATAAGATAAAGAGATAGCAGTTCTCGTTATAATAGTTAAACACTGAAAATTTCAGTCAAATTGATCTACTATGAGCCGAGAAAGAAGCGGGTGAAATTTTTGCATAGTCTCGGTCATCATTACTAAAATCATTCATATAAACAGCATAGTCTCGATTATCCACTTTTATTGATTTAATTATCAATAGCCGTTAGCGGCATATAGGAATCTAATCCAGCCAACATCGAAGGCTAGCCTTGACATCGAGAGTTTATTATGGTCTGGATAAGTTAATTAATGTCTAATTGATAATTTAGATAACATTTCAGGCCTAAAGAAAGACTTGTAATAAGCAGATTTTGCTCTTGCATAATGCATGTTTAAGAATTGGCTGGTTGAGAATTAACTTTTAGTCACGCCTAGTATGTACTTGACAGATGTATGACAAGTGCTTGGTTGTTGTGCGACGTACATACTGAATGCGTGATTTTGATGTATGCTTAACGAATGCTTGAGTACAGAATGGTATGCGCAATGAATGATTGGATAATGACTGTTTGATTGTCGTATGGCACGGATAATGACTGATAGATAGGTCTTCCACTGTGGAGTTTGGCTGTTGGGTACTATGCTAACTAAATACTTGGTATGACATCGATGTTGAATGCTTAATGGTGGAATGAACGTGGGCTTAAATACAGTGACTGATAGTTGCACGAACTGTGAATGTATGGATAATGATTTTTAGCTTTTAAATTGTGAATAAACATGCATGAAAGTCAAGTGACTCAACCATTTTGCCATGTGTTACTCATCAGGTCACGTAACTATATTACCAGTGTCATCACTCCACAATGCTTGTAGGCTCCACGATATGTATATTTATTTGTAGTTAAACGGATATCAACATGCTTCAAATGATGATAATAAAGGTAGTCGCTTCCTTGTGAAATAATGAATGTTTAAATATAAAATAAATATGGTTAAAGACCTGGGTAGCGATATTACGGCCTTGACATTGAATGTTTAGTACCTGCATGGTTAACTTGGTTTAATGAATGTATTTTAGTAATATTCACATTAATTTGACTTTACATGAAAGTCAGTGGAATGAACAGAAATGGTATATGTAATAATAAACACGCACCTTATACAGCTGTGACTGATTATTAAATACTCAAATGATAAGAGTAAATGCTTGATCATAGAACATGCATGGATAAGGACACATGCCAGGTGAACGTTTGCAAATATATATCTAAAAGGTGAACGCTTGGTTGTAACTGATGAACATTTAAAAATAGATGGATATTGAATGACATGGACAGTAGAATCGTGAACGATTGCTTAGTTGCATAGTATGGATAGTGTACACTTTTATTTAGCATGGCGTGTGGACAAGAAATGGTCACCGAACGCTTTGTGTTGTAGCATGAGGTTGTAAGTAAAAAGGGCTTAAA